AGTGTTGCAACTCAAGAGTACAAAATTTCATAATACCAATGTCGATCGATCGGAATTGGATTCAAGAGTAAGCCCCTACCATGGCAGTCGCAAGAGGCAGTAAATTTTTAATTTTGAGACTATAATAACTAGACTAGAGTAGACTACGCAACATCGCTGCGACCACATACGCTCCTCATGAGGAAGAGTCCCTATATGACTCGAAACTAGTAGAGCTTTTCTCAGTATATTTACTTGAGTAACTTGTTTTAGTTAATCATTGAATACCATAAAAAATGTAACAAACTGCTATAATCATTTTAATGACGGCACAGTTGGTGCGGTGGCCGGGCAACCGGCTGTCGCGCAACGTGTCGCGGGTCCGATTCCCGCACGAAGCAACTCTTTGTGTGATCCACATATTGAAGTTTCGGGTCTGGGCGTCATGTGTATGTGAACTTGTATGTTTGTAAACGCACCCACGACACAGGAGAAAATCCAAGTGTGGGGCAACGTTTAAAAAAAAAAATGCCAATTAAAAATGGTCCTACTGAACAATGCTTTGATAAAAGTATTGATTATTTTATCAATATGCTATCCCCTGTTTTATCCTATGATATGAATGGTCTAAATAGAAGTATGCAAGTGGTATCTTCGCATTCAGTTGTTTAAAAGATTCATGTTAAAAATATTATTTGATATTTTAGAAGGTAACAAGAGGAGAATATTGTATTTATATTATTACAATAATAAATTGGAACACGATGGAGGCATAAGTTAAGCCTTAAAAAAAGCTTGTGCGCTCGGCCAAACATAAATAATCATGCCTTTTATCCCTGAAGAGGTTGGCGGAGGTGCACATTACAGCACTGTACAGTGTAACATCTACTTTTCACTGTTTATGTTATGAGTCCCATGTGATAGGGGGTGAGCAAACCGGGTACAATTCCACACACTGTGCTACTACTGAGTTTTTTTTAAACTCAGTAATACTATCACCAACCTGGGAATTAGGAGTCACATTTGCAAACACTCGGCCAACAAGGCAGTTAGTCACACATGAAATTTATTTGTCAGTCGGGTCAGCAACGAATCCGTGCTACAGCGCGTCCAAATGACCCGGAAAATTATGCTGACCATCAAAAAGCGAAAAATCGAATATCTCGGTCACGTGCTTAGACGCGATATATATTCACTGCTTCAACTGATCATGATGGGCAAAGTGGAGGGGAAGAGACGTGCTGGGCGCAGAAGAAAATCGTGGCTGCGAAACATCCGGGAGTGGATCGGCATTACATCTGTCGAACAATTGTTCCGCATGGCTACCGACAAGGAGAAATACAAGAAGCTGACGGCCGACCTTCAACATTGAAGAGGCACTATAAGAAGAAGAAGAAGAAATTTATTTCTTTATCACAATATTCTTAGTATCTTACATGAGTCCTACATTCTTCAGAGTAATCTAAATTGCGTGTAGGCAAAGTTGCAGGCTTAACGCAAGCAAGTCTTTGCTAATATTAAAAAATACTGAAGAGTTTCTTTGATTAAACACGCTAATCTCTGGAACAAGTGGTTCAAAAATAATAAAATTCTTTTGGAGTTGAATAGTTCATATATCTAGGAAGATTAGGCTACTAGCTGTTGCGAGTAACTTTGTCCATGTAAAATATGAATTTTATTTTAATTATTCCTTTGGGAACATTAACTTGGAATAAAAAGTATTCTTTAATCTTTGTCAGCTAATACAGTCTGTAAACCAAATTTCATCAAATTCAGTACTTTCGGCGTTATTGAAGGTTTCAAAGCTCCCGTTTTAACCCATGGGAGCATTTAATCGGGATAAAAAGTATCCTATCACTTAAGTCAGCCCATACCCTGCCTGTATACCAAATTTCATCAAAATCAGTACAATAGTTTCATAATGATTGAGGAACAAACATCAAAACAAAGAAACTTTTATATTAATAATATTAGTGTGATAAATATCACACTTTAATCAATAGGAGCTAAGCAGCGAGTGACATAAATATTAAAGAGATGTATGAACAATAATTTCTCCTGGGATTGAGAGGACACCCTACTTAATAAGGAAGTCGGACACACCCAGACAAATTTTATATTATTTCTATATAAATAAAAATCTATTTCCGTTCGTTAGTCTCGCTAAAACTCGAAAACGGCTGAACAGATTTGGCTAATTTTTTGAAATGATCGTGCGAGTCCAGGGAAGGTTTAAAAGGAAAGAAATTTTTTTAGGCGGTAAGAAGTCAGCCGGTTTAGCTAGTTATTAAATAAAGCTAAAGAATTTGTTTGTTCATTTGATGGTGTTCAACTCAGGAAGTACTTGTCTGATTTGAAAAATCCTTTCTGTGTTGATAGTCCACTTATCAAGGAAGGCTATAAAACATTACACTATGATTAATAGGAGCCGAGCAGAGCGAGTGAAACCGGGCAGTAGTATAATATTTTACCTACACATATATTAAAAATTTATTACATAAAAATTCATGTAGATAAGTACTATTAACTCTATTTCTGAAATGTAATTTAATAACACTTTTAATTCTAATCAATAGCTCTTCAGAATTTTTTTTTTTTGTTATGATTTGGTTTATTTTTAAATAAGTAGGTACCTAGGTAATAATAAAGTAAATTTAAAATTGTAAGTAAATTGAAATAATGAAAAATGATTCGTAGATAAAAATCAAAAAGATTGTGTATTTGAAATCGACAATATGTAATCGTAATCGATTGTTTTGACCGTAACAAATTAAATTGCGCGAAAATATACGTATTATTTTGGGAGAACGAAAAATGATTTTATTTCAACATCGAAACAAAGAGAAACTTATGTCTTAAGGTATTTAGCTTGGTAAATATTTTAGGAAATATTTAAATGCATCTTACCTGATAAACCGACGACAATAATCCCAGGAATTATAAAAACACTATTAGAAAATGCATGCTCCAACGGGCCTTCAGACCCGCCTCCGAGATCCACCATTTTCAATTAATACTGAGCTGCTCTCTTCGAATAAAGCGACAAAAACAATCACTCCACTTATTCAGAACACTAAATGTACCATTTTTATTATAAAATACTCATACTTTATGATAAATTCATATAAATCTTTTATCCGACCGAAAAACGGGAAACGCAAACAAGTTTTAATTTTTATTAGGCTTTTCAATTTCTCTCTGTTCGGATACGAGGCTTTTGCGCCTCAAACTGTAATGGATGACAAAATGTTTGTTTGGAATAAAATGTAAGATGTTGATGTTTAGTTGCTAAATAAGTTTTAGTGGCATTTCACATTAGGACGTTAGCAGCGCGACAGTAGCGAGGAATAAGCGCATTCGTCAGAAACAGCGCCGCGCGTTAGCGTTAAATTCAGTGTGGCGCACTTCATTTCTAAAATGGATTCCGACGGTAAAACATTATTATTCCTGCTTTATTCGTCGCCATCGATGTCGCGTACAAAACGAAAAAGACGGTACAAGATGGGCCTGCGCATTATGTCTATGAGCAAGATGATCAGTAGCCGCCGAAAAGTCTGTAGGTAGGTATACTTATTTCAATTTTAAAATAATTAATAATTTTATTTTGTGTGACTAATCGATTTATTAGTATGTAGATTTTATCGGTTACCTAGATAATTTATTCGATTCTTTTCACAATTTTATCAGCATCATAATTTCTCTACAAAAACCAGATGGCAAACGACTTATTTGCGGCACTCTGTCGGTGATGAGCCCCGAGTGGCACACGCACAGAACATAGGTATAGCGCGCGGCCGCCGCTCTTCTGTTTGAACTAAAAGAGCTCTGAGAAATAGGTACGTACTACAATAAAAAGTTTGAATCCAACGGTTAACCGTCTTATTATTTTATAAAGATAATTAAATTAAAATATTCTGACCAATAGAGTAGTAGTAGTAGTTCTGACCAGTAGTAGCAAGGAGTCCGTAAATGTGTCCGGTATATGGCAATAGGTTCACCCCACATGGGACTCATAACATAAATAGTGAAAAGTGGGTGTTACTTCTGTGTACAGCTCTGCCTGCCCCTTCGGGGATAAAAGGTGGGGATAAATGTTATGTTATGTTATGTTCTGACCAAGTTCAGTCAGTTCAGTAACAGTACAATATTAGAGATTCTGACTGATTTACATAGTATATCATGATTTTAATCATATTAAGGATCTCTGTTTTGATACTCGCGTGTCAATTTGCGCCAATGAACCGGGACTGAGGGCACTAGTAAACCGTACAATGCCTGTTGCACCAAGTCATTGCACATTCAGTTTATGACAGCTATGAATAGTGATCTTGCCATTTTTTTGATAAATTAAAAAGTGGAAGAATACTAACTATACGCTGAGTCCGTTTCTTTCAGGTTTCTATTTTTACATTTGCGCCATCTAGTGAGTAGTACGAAAACAACATTCCGTTGTTCTCGCTGGATTGTGTCTAAAAATGTTTTTAAGTTAGAATGAGCATTCTTTTACGAATCAAATAACAATAAAACAAAAAGGCATTATTATAAATATAAATTTATTATTGAAAATACACAATTATGTATATCTTTTGGCCTTAAAGTAACATTAGTGTACACAATACTAAAACAAAATAATAACTAATGACACATATTCAATACAACAGTTCTACGACCACTATCATACAAGTTTAAAATAATAAAACATTTTTTTATTTATTTATTCATAATAATTAAAATCAGGAGTAAAAATAGATGTGTTAAAATTATTTTCTTGGAATGTAGGCCTTTAAGCTGCAATGTCATCCGTATAATTACGTTTTTTAAGTTGCAACTGGCAACTTTAATGTATTTCGTATTTCGAATGCCACCATGTTTTTTAATTTAAGCGGGAAGTAATGATTGATTTGAATAAATAGAATCGAAAGGGTGAATAGATACAGAAGAAGGGTGGGTGAATAGAAGCTAAAATTATCCCGTTTTTGTATCTATTACCTCTTTATTTCCAATAACATTTTACGATATTGTTTTTAGTGAAAAATTATTACTGTGGTTGAGTAATATTTTACATTCGGATTTTTGTGCAGAAAAAACTATTATTATTTTTTATCCCTCTTTAGATACGACAGTTTTTTTGTAAGCAATCGTAAATAAAGATACCAGTTTCAACTTAATATTAATTTAATCGTATGTTAGTTATTTACACACCCTGTTAGAAATTCTAATAATTTTCGATTCATTCGCTTTTTGGACATTATTCTTGTAAAATAATTTGAAGTACCTCAACTTGAAAAGAAATTATCACAGAATATAATGAGGCAATCTTCAAATCTCAATAATCGCTTTGTATAAAATTTGGTCCTACTTATTCATTAATATTTTATTTATTTAGTCATTTAATCTCTACCAAAATACATTTTTAGTCCTAAAAAATTTACCGGAGAAATGTTTATAATTTTCATTATGAATAATATAAATCAATAAATTGTATATTTTTATAAAAAGGCACGTTTTGAATGACATTGAGCGATTTCGCGCGTAAAATCTAAAAAAAAGTTTTCACGGAATAAATTTCAGTTTTTTTTTTCAATTCGAGTTAAGATGTTTTGTCATATTACTGGTTAGAATTTTATTAAAGTTTTTAGATAGGAAAATGAATGACGACAGAACTTTTACATATTATCTAATCTCTATTATCACGAATGCATCAAATATGTTTTGTAACCAATAACATGGCAACACATGTGTACAAAAAACGTCATTTCAGTTCATTCAGCACTTAAAATTACATTTTAATAATATAATAATAATTCCTGAAATACAGATAATATTTTCAAAAAATCAATAATTTCATTGCATTTTGTCTATATTAGGCTGTATGAGCTAAAACAATAGTTTTCATTTACCTAAATTTTTAACTAATCGATTATTAAATTTACGAAAAACGTTGTATTTTAATTTTTCTTCAGGGGATCGAGGTTGTCTATTGAAAAATCATCGTTTCCAAAGGAGATCCCTCGGCTGAATCCGTCCTGGAAAGAAAAAGGAACAAATTAGTTATTCAGAATAATTTTGCTTGCAAAATATAAACTTGGGCAGTGTCAGTTCTAAAACTACTTATCTACTTTTGCTAATCAAAATCTATAAAAATTTTAATGGCTGATAATTAATTTATTTTTATAAACAGGTAACACTTATGTTGTAACGTACCCTAATCAAGCTGAAGTTTAGAGAAACTCTTTTAATAAATGGTAATAATGGAACAATGATCACTTTATTTCTAGCAGCGATAATGTACCAGACCACCTTTCCATTATTTTATGATGAATTAATGAAAATCTAAAATGTTATAAATCGAATCTATTTTATCAGTGTTATTTTCCCTTCCTGATTAACCACAAAAATATTCTTTTTAACTATTTAATTTCTCAGGTTTACTTTTTAATATGATGAAAAATTGAATTGCTTATTTTCATCTGAAGTTAATCAAAATGATGTTTAATGAAGCCGTGGAATTAAGTGTGATTTTGTTATTTTTCCTTTTACCCTGCTGTGAGCCATAAGCGTAAAAACATTTAAAAAACTAATAAATAGATGAAAATGATAATTAAATAGGTACCTGTTATTGATGGAAAACGAAATAATAAAACATTTATTTTCAAACGACAAAACAATAGGTATTTTTAAACAATCACACCATGGACAATCACACTTTCTTATTAAAAAGTTAAACTCACCGATCATTGAGCTGTCAAAATTAATAAAAATATTTAATAACTTCATTTTCTTTGATACTATTAATTTTCTATTGTCTACAACTAATAATCTCTAGAATTCTAGATTTTAAAGTCTACCAATATTTATTAGAAATTAAATATTAGAATAAATGTACCACTTTCTAAGAAATTCTTGATGTTTCCAAATCAACTAAAATGTAAGTCTTGTTTTACCTCCTCTTGAGCTAACATAACCTTTTTAAATACTATTTCTAACTTTATTACAGATCCTAAAGAAGATACAGGTCCTGTATCACTTCTGAGAATAATAACACATTTCCCACATCTTGACATTATTTTTCACATATAGCAACACTGTAATTCATTCACCAATCAGAACATCAATGCGCACAGACTAAAAAGATAAAATCAATGACCACTCACCTTCATTTCTGATATAGTTTTATCTAGGAATCCGTTAAAATTGCTGTCCAATTCAACTGTAGCTTTCTCGCTAAGGTTCCCAAAGCCATTGAAAGTAGAATTGAATCCATTGCCAAAAATATTCGCAGATTTCTGCGTATCAAAAGGATCGAAGCCGCTGAGTCCGTTCGTGAACGAAGTTGTGTTGAAAACTGACGTTTGTAGGTTAAAATCTGCGATATCGTAGTTCGGTTTGTTTGAAGCTGCGAAGGGTTGAGCTAGAGGCGCTGGTTGCTGGTTTGGGATCGAGAAAGGCGTGGATCCGAAGAGGTCGCTGCCGTTGATTGCTGGCGTTGGTTGCTGTTGCTGTTGTGGCTGTTGTTGTTGCTGCTGAGGCGTGTGACGCCTTGAGGCTTTTGGTGGGGGGGCCACTGAAAAGAGGAAGGACATTTTTATAATCGTTTTTGATGTTGAAGAGAGAAAGATTGGGTTTTTTAGGCTAGTTGTTTACGGTGAACACGTCAAGTGTTGATTTTTTAAACTAGGTAGTATTCTGCTCTGGGGCTTATCAAATGAACAAACTATGAATTTATTTACTAGCCAGAAGCAATATAATATAGTGATATATGAAGTATTTTTTCCATAATAATATCTTTAACTACAATCATTTTCTTTTTAAATCTAAATTAGTTGTCTTGTTTTTTATGACGAATACTTACAAAGCGGAGGAGTTGATGTGAGTGTGTTCTCATGCGATGGCGCCGTGAAACGGGACACTGGTTCCGACTCGAACGCGCGCGGGTCGAAGTCTGAAATAAATGGGGGAAAATTCATTTATACGCTGGCAACACCAATAATGATTGTTTGAGACCCTTTTCGAACTGGCAATATTGAGGATTTTTTTTAAACTTACTTAGGTAGTTGTTACATTTTTCAAAGAGAAATATAATCAGAAACATAAATGAATTTGGTAATGTAACTAAATCTTTATTATTATTTATTAACTATTACTTACCACTGTCTGAATCTGAATTGAGTAGCAGACCTTCAAGCTTGGTGCCCACAGAAGGGTTCTTGTTGGTCGACAAATCACCCAGGAGTTTGCTGCAAAACATAGAATGAATACATTGTTAAACTGATTCATGAAGTCTTATAAAAATATTAGAAGAACAAAGTGTTCAATTGAGACGTAGATCAGTGGGAAACTTTCTAGTAACGCAAGTGGAAAACGCAGTTCTCATAACTAGTGACATTTACGACAGAAGAATGCAATAATTTTATTGATTTTAAATGATTTTGCAAGAATTTCATATAGGTACACTGTCAGTCAAGTTATTTGGTAAAATGCTACCCAAGTAAAAAAAGATAAACCAAGACAGGGAGAGGGAAGACTAATGGTCTCTGTACACAGAGGGCGCGGCGCGGCGGGACGGGACGGTGACGCGACGCTGAGTAGTTATAATGTACTAGATATTACGGACGACGCTCGACAAAGCCGTCGGTTCACGTCACGTCGAGCGGGATGGCTCTGTGTGGCGTCGTCCGTTTTTTATGGAATAGGCCGGCAAACGAGCAGACGGATCACCTGATGGTAAACAATCGGCGCCGCTAACAGACAAGCAAAAGAATAAAGGCGTAGAAGGGCGTTGAGGAGGTGGAGGAGATTGATGAGCAGGTAAAATAGGTTGTCAGGTGAAAGATTGTGATTTAATACTCACCCAGTGCCAAAGCTGTGTTTTCCATTATGTTGTGGCGGCGGCGTGGACAGCAACAGGTTGTTGTCGCTGTTTGAGTTGAACGTGTCCGTCGAGTTGTTCGACAACGCGTCCGTGCCTGCTGACAAAAGTTGTTGTTTTAGTTGTTGAAAACAAAATTATTTACCATGTTTAGGTACTTGGCATTCGTCCACATTTGCCAAAATAGATACTTGTTGACTTTTGTATCCGTACTTGTATTCTCCTGTGACACGAGTGCGTTACGAATTAACAATTCAATTTACGTTTTAAAAGTGCTTAAAAGTATTAATTGAATTGAAATAAATGCTTTGACTTTGACAATACTCAAACAAGATTTATTGAATTAAGTAAAATCGCGGGTTACTCACGTGAATATACTGAGAGAAGCTCTACTAGTTTCGAACCACAGAGGGGTTCTTCCTCATGAGCAGCGTGCGCGGTCGCGGCGACGTCGCGCGGCTCACTGGCTGAGTGTATTCACGTGAGTAACCCGCGATTTTACTTAATTTAGTATGTCTCACGATAGTTATTATAAAAACAAGATTTATTGAATCATATAAAAAGAATTGTCCAGTGCGGGAATTTAAACTGCAAAACGTTACACACTTACATAGCTTCCATTCGCCTCATCACAACCACTTTTTACCGCTAATAAAAAACTAGAGAGTGTCTAAACATCCATCATCTACAAAAAAACATTTTCTTCCCCTCACCTGTCTCAGTGTTACTATTACTATTGCCGTTGCTGTTGGCGAATCCATTGGCCATGGTAAGCGAGCTGATCTGCTTCTCCAGCTCTGGGGGCGGCTTGAACTCCGTGATGTCTGACAACTTGTTGCGAGCCAAGTATGACGACAGGTCATCTTTGTACGTTATCTTTGATAACTCCTGGAATATTAAGAAAATAGTATCTTAGTGTCATTTCTAAAGGCGCGTTTATAAACGAACAATTTGTTGGTCACGAAAACAATTATTTCGTGCGAGAATCGAACCCTCCACACGTTGCATTGTAGCCGACATTATACGCGTCATTCAGTAACTGCATCTACTGTTGTAAAAAAATATTAGAGGCTGGTATCATTAGATTCGAGTGATGGCTCTTGATTTTGTCACCAGAGGCGCTCGTGTAGCAAAAAGTTTCCACTAAATAGAATATTTGTGTATGGCAAACAATTTTTTTTTTATTTTGAAGGCTGGATATAATTAATCATCTTAGGCGCCATCTTACGGGTGTAAAAAGGTTCGTTTGCAAGAAAAAAAAAACGAAAGTACGCACAGTAGAGAAATCATTTAAATCTACCTATTATAAAGTTGTTACGTTTTATTTTATTTACCTGTAAACGACTTTTGTACGCGTTCATTTGTAACTCGAGTTTCTTGTTCTGCAGCTGCATCTTCTGCATCTCGATGTATTTGCCGTTGTCGTTCAAGAACCGTCTAGAAAGAAGAAAAAGTTATAATAAATAGTTTAATTATTTATGAACGAAAGATAAATAAAAATCCAATAAAAAGGTTCATAAGTTTTAAGGAGTGTGACCTCCTTTGTTTAAAAGTCATAAAGTCCTCCTTAACATCTATAGGGGGACTGCCAGAGGGGTAAAGTTCTAGTATAACTAAAGATCCATATCCCCCAAAGCTCTCTTTGCCTCCAAAAAGCTTTCAGCACTTTTGCAACTTCTTTAGTATTGCCGGTATCTATGAACGGCGCTGATTGCTTACTATTAGATGACACGTCTGTTCAGTTGTCCTATAAGTCCCTATTCCGTAAAAAATGCACTCTATCCGGAGATTTTTGCTAGGTAATTAACCCTGTCATCTCTTACGACGAGCATGCATGAAAAGATTGATGACTGTTGATGAAACAAAAGAAGCATGTAAGAATCGTAGCCATTGGCGTTCCATAGTCTCAGCCTACCCTTATGGGAGACTTAAGTTTATATATGTAGTTTCTAAAAGGAATATTAAAAAAGAATAAGATTAATAATTTACCTGTAGGCCAAATCAAACGCCTGGCCGATGGTTAACGTGATTTCTGAAGCTAATTTCGTTGAAATAAATACGAAACACTCATGTTTTTCCACGGCGCCATCATGCCCGTTCATTCCATTGACTGTGCTGCCCCCTTTCGCAATAAATGAGAAGTATTTCTTCGCCCCTTTGTCGTCGGCGCAGTAAGATATCCGATGTAGAGGGAATTGGTACATGATGTTGTTCGAACGCGGCTCCTGAAATAAAAAGAAGATATTTAATTGATTGTCAATAGATGTCGCGGTAGGCCCAGAAGGAGATGGCGGGATGAACTTGACGCCTGTGAAAACGATCGGCCACAGAAAGCTTTATAAAGAGACAAGTGGAAGGAGGATAGGGAGGCCTTTGCCCTGCAGTGGGTCGACCATGGCTAAAAATTAAACAAATGTAACATAACATCACGCCTTCCATCCCCGAAGGGATAGGCAGAGGTGCACATCATGCCACTGCACAATGTAACACCCACTTTTCACTATTTATGTTATGAGTCCCATATAATAGGGGGTGAGCCGATTGCCATATACCGGGCACAATTCCAAACTCCGTGAAACTACTGAGATTTTTTTAAAAACCAAGTAATATTTTGCCCGACCCGGGAATCGAACCTGAGACCACTTGCCTGGTAGTCGCACTTGCGACCACTAGGCCAACGAGGCAGTAAAATAAATAAATTTAATTGATTATAATTTTTACGTAAGTGTTGACCCGCATTGAGCAAGCGTGGTGATCAATGCTCAAACCTTCTCCGTGTGAGAAGAGGCTTTGGTCAGCAGTGGGAGTTTATAGGCTGATGATGATGACTACTAAAAAAACATCCGTAGAGGTATATTGATATTTCCACCATGTAAAAGAAATTGCAAATTAGAAACCACCACGTAAATAGCCAGCTCAAAAAGGCACTGAATCCCCTTAATATCCCCTTAGGGGATGAAACAGAAAGATGTAGCTGTAGCCTGCTGGCTACTGCTGCTGGCTAGCTAGATGATAAACTCCACAATCAAGTACCATTTTGACAATAAAGAGTGTCGCGCATTTCGCTTCTGACCTTGCGTGTTCACACCGACCGTGACGTGAAAGCGACGGAAACGCCCGAGTTCACCCGAACGCACTCGGCTAGCCACCATTGATTGTGATTACAGCTATGTGTGTGTTTACCCTATTTCTAATGATTTAAGTACTGTTTTGATTCAGTGCCTTTTTGAGTTGGCTATTTAAGTACGTGGTGGTTCCTAATTTGCAATTTCTTTTACATGGTACAAATATCAATATACCTACAGATGTTTTTTTTAGTAGTCATCATCAACAGCCTATAAATGCCCACTGCTGAGCAAAGCCTCTTCTCACACGGAGAAGGTATAAGCATTAATCACCACGCTTGCTTAATGCGGGTTGGCGATTACAAACTTATAATTAGAAATTATAAGCCCAGGTTTCCTCACGATGTTTTCCTTCACCGTTTGTCAGTGGTGTCTCAATAATTTTAGAAAGTACATATAACTCGGGAAAAGTCACATTGGTACTTGCTGTTGGTAGGTTTCGAACCCGCACCCTCATGCATGAGAAGCGGGCGTCTTAAACCTCCGGGTCACCACGACATTCTCTCAGACTTTTAGTAGTGCTAGGTAGTTTTGCTGTAGATCCAGGAGTTATAGACCTAATGGGGTTTGGTTCAAAAATAGCTCAATTAGTTATACAACGCAAGCTCTCCGCCTCCCTCAGCTCCATCTCCCTTTTTTGAGGGGGAAAACCATTCAATGTCTTTTCCTGCCTTGGGTGATACGAGAGGGTGAGTGTCAGAGAGTAACTGACTAAAAACCACCCCGTTCGTATTTCGGCACTTCGAGCCGGAGCCCCGGCAATTTCAGCCTTATCCCCTCCTCCCTAATCCCCGAATTCCCCATCCTCAAATTTCTGACCCTTAAAATTATGTATTACGTTGTATATATCTAATTAGTTATATTAAAGACTGCCTCGTTGGCCGAGTGGTCGCGGGTGCGACTGCCGGGCAAGGGGTCGATTCCCGGGTCGGGCAAAGTATTACTGGGTTTTTAAAAAATTCTCAGTAGCAGCACGGAGTCTGGAAATGTGCCCGGTATAAGGCAATAGGCTCACCCCCTATTACATGGGACTGATAACATAAATAGTGAAAAGTGGGTGTTACTTCTGTGTGCACCTCTGCCTACCCCTTCGGGGATAAAGGCGTGATGTTATGTTATGTTTATATTAAAGCCTTCCATAGCGTTAGTGTCAGACTATATCTAAAAAAATATTGAATAGATTTCGATGCAGTCCGCAATTGGGTACCTACTTTCCTTAACACGTTAAACGCCATGGTGACCGACGTTAGCGGAGGATTTACCTTCAACAGTTTTTTTATTGGCAGTCAAAGTCTTAATCAAAAATAAGTTATTTCGACAATTCAATACAATAAAATATTTAAAAAACAATCATACTTTCAGTAATTGATTTTATGACCAACTTACTTTTAGTATTTTTGCAAATTTTTAAGAAATAAGTATACTGTTTGACGCTGAAAAAAAAACGTGACGTCACAATACACAATCTCGTAAAAAAATTCATAGAAAACTGTCGTTTGTGGCAGTTGGATAAAAAAGGATGGAACTTGACTAGTTGGCGAGTTTGTAGTTCAAACTCTAAGTAGTTATATAAATTACAATTAGTAAGATTTTATTATTGCTTTTGACAGTTACCTATAAGAAGATCTCTTTTCAACTAGGTACACAGTTTGTTCATAGTTTTTTTTTTATATATACCTATTTGATTTCTTATTCTCCACGGACTCTTGTCCGTGCCCTTGTCATTCAATTACATTTTCTTTTATTTTATTGTCAAAATTAATTGTTACAGAAATCTTACGTGCTACACCCACACCCTTGTCAACCACATTCTTTTTTACACAAACAAGTACGTGTCTACTATCTACATATACACAATATATGTTTTATTATATTTACTTTAACCCTACTGGATCAGCCCACCCGCCAGCTGCAGCAGAAGGCGCTTCATTGACATGACGTGTGGGCTAGCAATCGGTCCGATCAACCATTTCGTAGGGAACGGAGCGACCCAGCCCACAGCGCCACCGACTGTAGAACATTTGTTCGTCTATACTACCTCTAATATTATAAAGAGGAAAGATTTGTTTGTTTGTTTGTAATGAATAGGCTCCGAAACTACTGGACCGATTTCAAAAATCTTTCACCTCTGGAAAGCTACATTATCCCCGAGTAACATAGGCTACATTTCATTTTGAAAAAAAAAAATGTCTATCCCGTGCGAAGCCGGGACGGACTGCTAGTAGTTGATAATTAGGTATAATCATTAATGTTCGAGTATCATGCGAATGGGAATGTAAATAACTAGCATTATATACTCAACGCGTACATAATGCGCTGTATATAACAGACATAAACATTTCCTGTGATTACTCTTAACCGACCGCGCTTAAAAAAGGGTAATGTGTTTCATGTGTTAGTAAAAAATGTGTTAGTAATGTTAATTATTGTGTCATTCTAATAAGTGTTAAACGTTTACACCTACTATTGTGTCTCTCTGCATCACCCTAAGGTTGACTGTTAGAGAATGCTACTAGGCATTAAGTCCGCCGTTGTATATCTACAAAAAGTGTAAATAAATAAACAAATAAATAAAAGGTCTGATGGTAATCCTACAAAAAAAAAACGCAAAAACTAACATAACATAACATCATGCCTTTTATCCCCGAATTGGAATTACAATAAGTAGGTACAATATAACACCCACTTTTCACCATTTATGTTATGAGTCCCATGTAATAGGGGGTAAGCCTATTGCGATATATCGGGCACAATTCCAGACTCCGTGCTACTACTGAGATTTTTTTAAAACCCAGTACTACTTTGCCTGACCCGGGAATAAAACTTGAGAACCCTTACCCGGCAGTCGCACTTGCGACCACTCGGCCAAGGAGGCAGTCTATCTGCTATCTATCTATCTGGGTGCTATTTCCGACAAAGAATAAGATCCACGATACAGTCATTCGACCATTCATGGGCGAACATACATTTTGGTGATCCATTAATATCCATTAATATTATACTATACTGTAATAAAAAACATTTAGTTAAATATAAGATTCCCACTGCTCACAGGTTACCGTGAAATCAATTATTAATTATTACACGTATAATATAATGAATGCTTTTACTTTCATTCGTTTAGACCAGAGTAATATACTGTAACATACACTCATCGAACATATTGTGCGTGCGTCTTGTTACGTAGGTACTATCGACTAGATAAACTGATGTTAAGTCGGGTTGGAAAAAAATGGTGAAAAAAATTTCGGACATAGTGTTTGTTTTTTTTTTTTAATATTGACAATCAATTATTTATTCATGCTTGCGTTTAGATTTAAAATGAATTCCTTAACTCGTCGAGTACCGGTTTTGTAGACACAATTATAGAACAATAGGTTGCGGTCACCGGTGACCGCTTGGTGTTTGACAGTTTAATATTAATACCGTATAATTAATTAATACCGTAATACCATAAAAAATAGGATAGGATTTTTTATAAAGTTTTTTTTTTGCATGATATTCTGGCAACGGAATAATATTAAGTTTAGAAGGATTCAGAAATCGTTATACCCGATACCGTGTACTCGGGCGCTCTCGGAAACGCCGACAGGTGATGGTAAAAACCACGATTTATTATTTTTTATATCATCTATTTTATTTTAGGGGCTTTTAACCAATAGTCTACGTCAGCCCTATTGTAGCCCACATTTTAATTTCATAAATCAAAGGAACTAACTGTTTCTTTTAGACCTCGGACATAAGCCTGCGATGTGATGCGATGCGTAGGTATTCCCAACGCAGAAAATTGCGGTGCTGCGATGCGATTTCGTGGGACAAGTCGTCTCCCAGGGTGACCATTCGTTCGACGTTCGACGACCGTCAACCGTACTAAACGTATTTTAAATTGTTAACTAGGTCGTGACATGGGTCGTAAAAAGAAGTGTGCACTTCTGTTATTGCTTAGGAGATACAGGAAAAGAAACAAAGAACATTTTGGGCAGACAAGATTTTGATACGCGATACGAATCATTTTGCAAGTTCTTGCGATGCGTAAAAAGAGCTCGCACATTTTTGCGATGCGACGTCGCATCGCAGTTTTGTGTGCGAGCCCTTATGTAGTAATAATTGTAATCAACGATTCAAGGCTGATCTTGCATGAATAACACGAAAACAAAACCTATTAAAATAGGGTAGATGCCTAATGTTTATTTTAATGTCATTATTTCATTATTTTTTTTTCATTAAAGCATTTATTTCAATTAAACCATAGTTTGGTACTTTTGAAACGTCAACAAATACAAAATAAATAATAGTCAGTCAGTCAGTCCGTCAGTGAAATTAGGTGAAGCTAGGTGCTCATTCCAAAACGTAGATTCGAATGGAGAAGAACGAGCAACATTCGTTAATCTTTTAAAAAAGTATGTTCTACAATGTCTCTGATACATATTTCAATACTGTACGCATATGTAAGAACAATGCAAAGACACGCTTGTCCGTCTGGTAGATTATTTTAAATCATTAGACACATATTTTTTATTTTCTTATAGAAACGAATACTTTTAATTAAATTCAAAGCATGTTCTTGCACCCGCTGATTACTTTCTCTGCATCACCCAAGGGTCAGACTGGTAGAAAATGCCTGCGGCATTAAGTCCACCCATGTACTTGTTTGTGTGCATAAAGTTTTTTAAATAAAAAAATAAATAAATAAATACTTTCGACGATATATTGATTGAAATGTCGTCACTTCTATGTAAATTTTATACGTACAAAGTACGTTTTAGCCCACACTTCTAATCCACTCACTTTGATTCGTTTTATCTAAGTACCTATTGTTTTATTAAACGACAAAATAAAAAAATACGTGTCTAATATTTTTTAATTACCTAACTTACGGACTAATTAGATTTTTAATTTTCATATCCTCTCATCATCCCAATTGTAAAAACAACGTTTTGTCAGCCTTTGCGTTTACACCCTTTATTTCTATAAATTGCAAGATCAAATACTCTTATTGATCTTCATCGAGTTGATTATATTTAAACTGTCAAACACCAAGCGGTCACCGGTGACCGCAACCTATTGTCCTATAATTGTGTCTATAATGACGGTACTCGACGAGTTAATTTCAAATTGTAACCAGTGTCCTTAGCCAAACGCCTATAGCGCTTGTCTACAGAGAGAGTAGACAATTAAATTTATGGGACTGACAAGTGTCAAAATTACGTCAATTCCATATAATTTGGTTTTATAACCTACATATGGACAAGCGCTAAATGGCATTTGGCTACAGCTGCTGTTATGCATAGCCTAAACACAAGTCATTTCGTCGATAGTACATTTGATTTCACTTTTAGTAAGATGCGTGTTGAATCAATGTTTACCTACATACACATGACTACGTATACATATATACGTAATTGTGACGTCAGCTGATTGTAGTGGGGTAGACAGAGATAGCCACGAGATGTAGTTATTAGTTAGGTAGTTTGTTAATTATGATAATTGTTTAATTACAAGAGAAAGTCTGTTCTATGTCGTCTAAGTAATGTAATCTTGATGGTAGACTGTTAAACATGTTGTTATTTGTGTAATTTGTATAGAAGTTGTTTTGTTTACGTTTTAACTCGTCGAGTACCGGTTTTGTAGACACAATTATAGAACAATAGGTTGCGGTCACCGGTGACCGCTTGGTGTTTGACAGTTTAAATAAGTCAGTCTCATAGTTCTCACAGATACTTATCTATCTATCTATATAAATAAAATCTATTTCCGTTCGTTAGTCTGTCAGACAGAAGATATCTGTCTTTTCTTGTATGTCTGTCTGAGTTTTAGTTAAGCTTATTAAGTTAGGATAAAGAGAAGATGTCCATAAGAATTCAACGGAAAGTACCAATGTACTTTCTAAGATTATTTAGACACCATTGGCAAACGGTGACGGAAAACAACTTAGATTTATCAATACATAGTATAAAACAAAGTCGCTTTCGCTGTATGTCCGTATGTATGCTTAGATCTTTAAAACTACGCAACGGATTTTGATGCGGTTTTTTTTAATAGATAGAGTGATTCTTAAGGAAGGTTTGTATGTATAATACATGCATATTGCACCCGTGCGAAGCCGGGGCGGGTCGCTAGTAATTTCTAATTATAAGTTTGAAATCGCCAACCCGCAATGAGCAATTGAGCAAGCGTAGTGATTAACACTCAAATCTTCTCCGTGCGAGAATAGGTTTTGCTCAGCAGTGGACACTTATAAGGCTGTTAATGTGATACTATAGTTAAAAAACGAAATGGCTAAAAATACTGACCTGAATGGCAACACCATCAACCGAGATGGTGATCTCGACCTTCTTGCACTTAGCACCATCTTTCGCCTCCGACTTCTTCAGCTGCTGTGTGAACTGGAGTTTCTTGATAGCATCCTTCACCACCTCGATACCCTTGGGCTGGTCGACTTGCGTACAGCCGAGGAACTGGAATGAAAAATGGACTTTGTTAATATAGAGCTAAATAAGGATGAGTAGAATACTTTTGTATTGTCATCACCCCTGCTCTTCCCGTGGATGTGGGAAACCCATATACCATGACGCATATTGTAAGAGCTAGCTAAGGGACTACAAATGTAACCTCCTCACGCCCCAGCCGTCGCCAGAGACACTCCGGGCGTTGGAGACCGCGAGACGACCTCCGGCCTTCGGACGGGCCTGCAGACGGGGGGCACGGGTGACTCGTCGCTTGATCAGAACCAGACCCAAGCATAAGGGACGTTGCGTTCTGTGCGCGCCTCAAAGAGCCATCAAACCACACACACACAGATGGGGCCCAATAGGCCTATGCTGATACGGAGCCGCTGAGGACTTAATACGTTACAGAGACTCCGGCTCAAAGTGCAGGAGTAGGAACGGGATAGTTTTTAGTCAGTAAGAGTCCGACACTCCCTCTCGCCTCACCCGGGCGGGAGAAGTCAATAGATGAATTCCTCAAATAAAAGGAACTACATATCGAGGGGTAACGGGCTATTTGGTTTAAGCGACATTTTGGGCGATATTGAGTTATATATATATTCGGAATCAGCGAATTTTTCTCCGTCGATTGATGCCGGTTTCATTAAAATCGGAGCACTTTTTTGGCGTTTCAAACAATTCTATTTTCGTGTTGTTTCCAAAGTGACAGTGTATTAAACGACATGGATTTCGCATTTTTTATTAAATTATGTACTTGAACCATACCATCATATTAATAACCGAGACATAAACCAGTCACCCTATCTCTAATTAATAAGTCAAAATGAGTTAAAGCGTTTTTCCTGTTTCTAATTTTTACTAGCAAGTAACTTGAATCATTTTGACTTCCCACTAATCACACGGTATGTTGTCGCTTAAAACATTTATCCGTCACCCAAATACGACATGGTTCGTCTCTTAAACACTTCTAGCTGCTTTTATTTTCCACGCAGGGTGCTACTTAAACCAAATAGTCGTTTTCGTTCAGATATTTTGTTTAGTCATAAATCATTTAGCCCTCCTTTTTTTTAAAATGCATGTCGTTTTATACAGATGATAACATTAATAATGGATATTGAAACATTTTGCCAGTATTCATAAAAATATGAATCGGTCTTTAAATCACTAAATTTTAATATGGTACATTTCAATCATGTCATATGATACTATATTTATTTCATCGCCCGGGTGTTAAAAATCGTGATCATCCAACTGGACTATCGTGCGCTGGCGCTTCAGTCACTCCAGAATGCGTCGAAGACAGACGGGACGCGCACTCACCGCCAGTGTTTACGTAAAACGCTCATCGAAATTGAATCCTAAGTACTTTAATTTCAAGATCAACCTCGCGGTCGTCCGAAGACTTTGGTGACAATAGGCTATTGTGGAAGCTGATGACATACAATCTACGGCTGATTTAGCAACAGCTTTCGACGTTAGCATCAAAACAATATTGGTCCATTTACGTCAAATTGGCAAGGTAAAAAAACTTGACAAGTGGGTGTCCCACAAACTCAATGATCGCCAGAGCTAAGTATGCATCGAGCAGTGCCTTGCACTGCTCAACATAGTTGTAGTAGTAGTTAGTTCAGCACCTAAACAATACCCGAAACGAAAACTTACTCCTAGAAAAGTGATGGTCACTGATGGTCTAGCGCCAGTCTGATTCATCACAGGTTCTTACCAAACGGAGTGAGCATTACTGCGGATGTGTAATGTGAAGAACTGAACACAATGATGGAGAAGCTGACACATCTCCAACCAGCACTGGTCAATCGCTCATCTCCATTGCTCCTGCATTACAACGCGCGACCTAAAGCTGCACAACAGATGGTCTCCAAGTTACAAGAACTGGGGTTGGAAGCTCTCCAATATCCACCCTACTCACCAGACTACTTCTTTTCCAGAATTTGAATAACTTCTTCGCGGGAAAAAAATTCATTACCCGAGAGGCAGTACAAAATGCATTTAAAGAATTTGTTGCCACCCGTCCAGCTGATTTGTTTAAGAAGTATTTTGTGGCAGTTTATTGATGCCCAATAAACTGCCACTGCGTTGGCAACGATGCATTGATTACATGGGTGATTACTTCGATAAATACAAATAAAAAATACATGAAAAAAATCGTTTAAATTTTTTCATACAAAACGGCAATTTCAGTAAATAACCCATTAATTTATCTGATTTTGCTGAATAAATAATAATATAATCGTTGTTCCTATGCAGACTGTTATTATTAATCTAAATAAATACTTTGATATTGTGTTGTGTTTATTTATCCGATGTAAGCACCTGAGATTTTCGGTTGTTTCGATATATCCAGGTTGTTTTATCAGCCATTAATCGTCTTAGATGTAAATAAACATAAACATTTAACGATACAATTTCAATGTTATATGTCACATAAGTAAATTAGCCTGTTACTCATTTTAGTCTAAATTGGTAGTTGAGATAAATAGCTTGCTTCTATTTATTTTGGGTTTCGTTACTTCATACTTTTTGGCTTACTCTGTAAATATAGTGCATCGTCGCTTAATTTTTTTCCCTTGTAGCCAATTGTAGTTATGAAGTCACTTAAATCATTTTTCCTGACTCTAAAAAAGGGGCAGATTGTATTAAGCGACATTTATCTTTGTAATTAAAGGTCCGCTTTATTTGGAATTAGCATCAGCAACTAGATATTTTTATTTAAATTTCAATGCAATTTACCCCGTTCAAATATCTGCAGAAGCGTTTTTGTTATGAATTTTTTTTCGAAATTTCTAACTTTAAAAGGCTCTCCTGTAAAGTTGCAAAAATGTCGCTTAAACCAAATAGCCCGTTACCCCTCGATATATATTTGACTGAGACCGTACAGTAACGGCGGTCTTTGATAAACCTGAACGTGAACCTAACAAGTGGCATAGGTACATACATATCTTAGTTTAGGGGTTTCTTTAAATTTAGGAGTGATTTAAAAAGGGGAATCCTTACTAATATTATAAATCGGAAAGTGAGTTTGTTTGTTTGTTCCGCTTTCACGCCGTAACTACTTAACCAATTGCTTTGAATTTTTGCAGACGTAAAGTTAGAAGTCTGGATTAAATAATAGGGTTTTTATCCCGGAAAAAATTATATTCTCGAGGGATAACGATATTATTGGTATAGATGGCGCTGTGTGTATTGGTATATGTCACATAGGCTACTATTTATCCTTTTGTGACGCGAGCGAAGCCGCGGATAAAAAAAAGCTAGTTGGTTATAAACAAAAGTTCCAGTTTTTCTCCCTTGTTGGAAGTATTGTTAACTGATTTTCCGTACACAAACAAGTACATAAGGATAAGTATTTAAACAATAGCTTGAGGTGTGAATGTCTGCAATTAGAGATTATTATAATTGCAGTTATTATTTATTTAATTATTTATTGTATGAGGTCATGGCGGTGCCGTGGGACATAGTTATATCTTTGTATCTATAGTTTTATGACTTGATTAGTATTTTCTTTGAAGAATGTCATGGTGGCCCTGGGGTTAAAGACGGCAAGTACCAATGTAATTTTTTCCGAGTACATACGTACTAGGTTGCGCGACATCGCCGCGACCGCGCACGCTGCTCATAAGGAAGAACCCCTCTGTGGTTCGAAACTAGTAGAGCTTTTCTCGGTACATTCACGTAAGTAACACGCGATTTTTAGTTCAAATATTCTTATTTTAAAGGTAACCGGAAATCGAAACCGAGGTCCCTTGCCCGGCAGTCGCACTTACGACAACACGGCCAACGAGGCAGTCTGACATTCATTGATCAGTTTAATATTCATTTATTGCTTAATGCACACAAAAATAAGGTACATAAGGCGGACTTAATGCCATATGTCATTTTCTCCCAGTCAACCTTTGGGTTAAGTAGAGAATCAACGAAAATAGGTAGGTTAAGTATAGAAAATATTTTTATATCGGATCTTTTCGATGTTTTTCCAGAAGTTCTTAACACAATACCGGAGTTATTTTGTCATCTTCCAACTTTATAGACTTCGAGCTATTAATGGTAACTTTAATTCGAAGAATCGATCAACTTCCTATGGCCGTAGCCGATGCGCAAACTGAATCCATGACGCGAATCGTATAGTCTATTTTTAAGCACCAACAATCATCACAAATATTATGATCAAAGGTCAATTTTAACATAATAAATTCCTGGAATGGTTTAGATAAAGCAACATATGTTGGGAAACGCCCCCGAGCTGCAATACACAACAGATGCCAATTAACACGTGCATTGATAAATCTATTATTATTTGTTATTGTTATGAACATTTTTTTAAGAGGATAAATTCATCGAATTACTTCCCCAGCCCAGGTGAGGTGAGAGGGAGTGTCAGACTCTTACTGACTAAAAACCACCCTGTTCCTGTTGCACTTCGAGCTGACACACCGATAACCTTTTACGTTCTCCAAGGCTCCGTTGATCTAGTTAAATATTTTTAAGTGTGGGAGAGCCATGCTTCGGTACGAATGGGTCGGCTCGACCGAAACGATACCACGGCCTCACAGAAACACGACGTGAACCAACGCTTGTGTTTCGACGCGTCAGTTAGGATAACGGAGACCTAACCCCCCCCTCCCCCCTCCCTAATCTTCACAATTCCTGAATCCCAAACAATCTTCAAATTCCTAATCCGTAAAAGGCCGATAACGCACTTGTAGTGATTTGGGCAGCAGTGGTCACTTATAGGCTGTTGATGTTGATACTTAATAACTTTGCTGACTGTATTAAAGGACTAGTCGATAGAGACCAGTCAGCAGCACTTTCCGATAAACCTGAACCTTCTAAACCGTGATCTCCAAGCCGCCTTCCAGCGGATATTATGACAAACTCGTCTTATGTAGAGGAAGCTCCTATTTCACCAGTGGCCTGTCATGTCCTGTTGATCATTGTTCTTAAGAACTTGGTGAATAATATACGATTCTTCACATGTTTGTAAGACAATCAGATTCTTGGAATTCATTGCATAATTATCTAAAGGACATGCTTGTTATGGATTCACTGCATACCAATTTTTCCTTGTTGATAGGTCATTCATAAGAATGTTATGAATTTATGTCGAAATCAATAACCCAATCCAATATATCTATCGAGGTTTTTGACGGAAATGCATTAATGACAAAAATGGACTTCATTCTAAAGATTTAGCGGTTACAATTTGGACACACACATAACATCACGCCTTTTATCCCCGAAGGGGTAGACAGAGGTGCACATTATGCCGCTGTACAATGTAACACCCACTTTTCACTATTTATGTTATGAGTCCCATGTAATAGGGGGTGAGTTACAATTTGGACTCAGGACATTTTTTTGTTTTTATGAGACAAGTCCGTCACAATGTGTTTCGCGTGAGTGTCCATGGGCGACGCCGATTGCTTACCATCAGGTGATCCGTCTGCTCGTTTACCAGCTTATGCCATAAAAATGGGCGTAATTACATACCTTAACAAGATACGCGACGTGGCCCTTGACGAGAGCATCAGGTGCGTGTATCCAGTTCCTGCCATTCGGAGCTCCATTCGCCTTGCCCTTGCCCTGCCAGAACAGCAGGGTAGACATCCTGGAACAAGAGAGAATACTATGAGAAATGCTGATCATCATCACACTACTTAAGAAGATGTTTGTTGTCGTATCGAATTCCTGGCATATCACAACGTAGGTCTACGTAAAACCTAATGTATTTATTATTGTGTCTTATACACCAGTTAAGATCTTGAGAAGTAACTGATAATTTGGAGGCCCATACCTCTCCAAAGACCAGCTATGCACTTGTATATATCTTCGTTGGTAATGTGATTGCTTACAACCAAGTGATGGGCATTGGGCATTGAGTGTTTTTGTTCATGAGTGGTTTTCCGGCCACCGTAAGCACGGGCCTGCGGAAGGCGAGCACGGGTGACTCACCGCCTGACCAGAACCAGGTCCGAGCGTACGATGCCGATACGGAGCCGTGGAAGACTTAACGGGTTGCCGGGGCACCGGCTCGAAGTGCAGTAGGATCAGGGTGATTTTTAGGCAGTAAGAGTCTGACACTCCCACTCCGGGCGGGAGAAGTCATTGGATGATTTTTCACCCACAAAAAAAATCCCTGATAGTGACATGATTTTTTCGATGCCCCCACACTAGGATTTTCTCCGGTATCGTGGGTGCGTTTACAAACATATAAGTTCACATACACATGACACTCAGACCCCGAATAACAATCTGTGATAAGTGATCACACAAAGAGTGGTTCCGAACCCGCTACATGTTGCACGGCTGCCAGTTGCCCAGCTACCGCTCCGACCGTGCAGTCCATTACCTAGTTTAAAGATCCTTCCTTATTTGAAAGTAGGAACATTACTGATTCGTCTTTACGTACAATAGTCCGAGTTTGTTTTACGTTAAAAGTATTCGAAACGAGTATGCGTTCGGCGCTCTGATTGGCCGGCACCAATGAAACAACCAATCACAGTCGAACGTGTACTCGTTTCGAATACTTCGTACTAAGGCCTCTGTACTGCGATTGACTTTAAGAAAATGTTTAAGAAAGCATTTTAACTCGTCGAGTACCGGTTTTGTAGACACAATTATAGAACAATAGGTTGCGGTCACCGGTGACCGCTTGGTGTTTGACAGTTTAATCTATCTCCTATTTAAAGAGAATAATTGACAAAGGTTTTATGACTTTCGTTTAATTTATATTGAATCGGATAATTTATATTGAAGATCATACATGATATATGCACACGAAGACATATTTATAGATAAACGATTACAAACATATTAGTTACATATATGTACATACAATTGTACATAATCATTATGTACATAATTATTCATTTAATATGTTTACGGAAACTATATGATTATATAACATAACATAAAGGTTGTTTTTTGTACCGGTACCGCTTATGATTTTTTTTCGAGAATCGCTCGATTAGTTTCTAAGTCACACCGGGGCTTTTATTCATGAACTGCTTTAAAGTAGAACTTCTCTAAATCACCAGTGTGATACTAAAGTACTTTGAGAGCGTTTTTTTAAAGTTTAAGTTAGTCATCATAACATCACGCCTTTTATCCCCGAAGGGGTAATGTCACTGTACAATGTAACACCCACTTTTCACTATTTATGTCATGAGTCCCATGTAATAGGGGGTGGGCCTATTGCCAAATACCGGGCACAATTCCAGACTCCGTGCTACTACTGAGATTTTTTTTAAAAAACGCAGCAATACTTTGTTGGACTCTCGAATCGAACCCGAGACCCTTTGCCCGGCAGACGCACTTGCGACCACTCGCCCAGTAAGACAGAAGTAGCAGTTTAAGTTAGTCTTAATTATATATCGATGCAAATGCTTAATTAGAAGTAGGATGGCAGCAAATTTACCGGGAATCGAACGATGGCGTAACGATCGACTGTCGAGCACGTTGCGCAAGCAACGACACTATTTAGAAATCGTAATCATTTGAATACAAACTGTTTATGGAGTTGAAGGGAGCTAGAAGGATGGAGACATAACATTTTTTAAGAGGATTAATCATCTAATTACTTCTCTCGCCTTCTGTGAGGCAAGAGTGAGTGTCAGACTCTGACTGAGTAAAAACCACTCCATTCCTACTCCTGTTTCAAGCCGGTAGAGATAATGTAACTATCGTCTCATCTTTTCATTCTTAAATTGGACAGAGGTACAAGGTAACGTGGAAAATTCAAGCTTCGGCACGAGTGGTCCTGTTCAACCGGAATTATACTACGGCCTCATAGAAAACCGATTTGAAACAACGCTTGGGTGTTTCTTCAAAAAACTTTAACTTTTATTTAACAAATCATTATCCTCCCGCGTTGTTAAGAATCGCGGTAACTTATTAACATCTGTATTTTATTGCATTGGGTGAGAGCAGTGACATGGCTCAATTTTTTGAAACTAAACTTTGTTTTTTTTTTTCTGGAGCATCACCCCTTGCGTTTTATTTATGTTAGACGACAAAAATCAACTTTATAGTTTAATCTATGGTATGGGCAACACTAGCTGTCTGCTATTATGTTGACATTGACGCTGTCATCTGTCAAATGTGACAGTTGAGTAAAGTTTCCCGCGCAAAGAGTTGTAACGTTCATTCGCGTTGTAAGTTTGACGATTATACGCTGTTTCTTATAAGAATCTGTTTTAGAATATCCAATGTTTAACTGTTGAGGTTTACTTAACTCGTCGAGTACCGTCATTATAGACACAATTATAGAACAATAGGTTGCGGTCACCGGTGACCGCTTGGTGTTTGACAGTTTAAAGTATGTAGCTGTGTGAGTGAGGTTATGAGAGGCTCAAACCTTCTACTGTTTATCCTTAAGCCCCTAAAGACCGGCAACACACTTGTAACGCCTCTACGGTTGCAGGTGTCCATAAGTGGCGCCGATTGCTTACCATCAGGTGATCCGTCTGCTCGTTTATTATTCTATATAAGTAAACCTCTGTGTACCACCTTTAGTGGATTAAAAGCGTGATGTGTATGTATGTATATATGTTCGTGACTATATCGCACGATTGTTTGTTCATATTAATTGTTTTTAGCTTTTTATCAGTACGTTTAATCACGCCAAGGTCTATAGGAGTTATAATCTCAGTTATTAGGTATACATATTTTATCTAGAAGTACATAACATATCATCACGTCCTTTATCCCTGAAGGGATAGGCAGAGGTGCACATTACGGCACTTAATGCCACTATACATTAGAACACCCACTTTTCACTATTTATGTTATGAGTCCCATGTAATAGGGGGTGAGCCTAGTGCCATATATCGGGCACGATTCCAGGTTCCTTGTCTACTACTGTGAAATTAAAAAAAAAACCCAGTAGTAGTAGTACTATGCCCGACGTGGGAATCGAACCCGAGACTCCTTACCCGGCAGTCGCACTTGCGACCACTCACCCAACGATGCAGCGTACAAGCCAGTACCTAGAAGTAGTACAATAATGGCACAGTTGTATATATTTACGACATTTATAACCATCCCTGCTATTCCCGCGGGTATCAATTCTCATAAGATCCGACTAGGTGACTATACACTCGATAGAGATCAGGCAGAGATTATAACAATACGTTTTATTAAGGACAAGCCCGTCACAACGTCCCAAAACCGCTGCAACTCCTGTACTCCAGGATCTACAGTAGATACAACCATGAAAACACCGGAACACTAAAGCCCGCCGCGTCTCTGGGACATGAATAACTGGCTTGGTTCCCGCAACGAAATAAATCAGAAGATATCACTGAAGCAGAAGAAGCTTTTAGCAAAAATTAATCAGTAAATCTTGCTAATCAGTAAATAAACATTAACATCGGATATTTCATTGTATATATTAATTAACAAAATCAATATATTTTAAGTTGTTATCATCTTTAATTACATGTCGAGGTCTAATATTGACCTCTAAAAAATATTGTAACTTGATAATTTTGTGTCACATTTATTTAAAAAATATGTTTACAAACAATAAACGTTGACAAGGTGTATATATCACTGGCTTTTTTTCCACTAGATGGCGCAAATGTACAAAGGAATTTTGTTCCAATCATAGCAGCTGTGATAGTGAACGACCAATGGTGTAACAGTGGCTAATTGGGTACTTGTCAACTAGTCAAAAACAATACTTTTTTCGAACTGTCAAAAACGACAGTTTTCTATGAATTTTTGTACGAGATTGTGTATTGTGACGTCACGTTTTTTTAGCGTCAAACAGTATACTTATTTCTTAAAAAATTGCTTGAAAAATATTAAAATGAAGTTGGTCATAAAATCAATGCGAGAGGTTAATGAAAGTGTAGTAATTATTTTTTAATATTGTATTGTATTGAACAGTCGAAATAATTTATTTTTGATTAAGGAAAGTTCCCCAATTCCCTATGTTCTTACAATGAAGAACAACGAGAGGGTCACACTAGCGCCGATAGCTAAACGAAAATACGACAGGCCCCATTGGCGTTCCATAGTCTCTGCCTACCCCCATAGGAGATAAGTGTAAAGTAATAACATAACATAACATCACGCCTTTTATCCCCGAAGGCAGAGGTGGCACACAGCAGTAACACCCACTTTTCACTATTTATGTTATGAGTCCCATGTAATAGGGGGTAAGCCTATTGCCATTTACCGGGCACGATTCCAGGTTCCTTGCTACTACTGAGATTTTATTAAAAACCCAGTAATACTTTGCCCGACCCGGGAATCGAACCCGAGACCCCTTGCCCGGCACTCAGCCAACGAGGCAGTCAAGTAATGTGTATAGTATATTATGTCAAATTAGTTAACGCACAAGGGACATTGCAATAAGATTCACACATAGACAACGAAACAATGCCGCCACTTCCGTATCCCAGTAATCGGGGTTGCCAGTTAAAATTACATGTAATTATAATGACGGCAACACTAAGAATAAAAAGATTTTCAGATAAAAACTAAGGAAAATACAGTCATGTGTAATTATAATTAATAGATAATTTTTGTCTAATTAGTATTTAATAATAGTGTTGCTTAAAACTTGGAAGATTTTAGAACAAAAATGTTTCGAAAAATCTA